TATCGTACTCTAACCCTTCATATTGGCTCCTCATTACCAAAACGTCAAGAAATGGTAGTTGTCCCTTATTTTCAAACTCTACGTGAATTTTATTGATGGAAATCTATTATTTAAAAAGGAAACAAAGTCCTCAATATTCGATTTTTTTGTATCGAATATCGCGAAAATATCATCCACATACCTTAGCCAAATCCTAGGAAAATACATCGACTTTTCTTTGGTTTCTAACGGTTTCTCGAGGGGTATTGTAGATGACATAATGAAGAAGAAGAAGTTTAGGTTAAGAATGAACGAAATCTCAACTTTCAGAAAGGACAAAAACCAAGATAAATACATCTCAGTTCCATACCACCAATATACGATCATAACTGTAACAACTTCGCTTTCCGAACTCGTTTTCACTTCAACTTCACCTACTGCACACTAGTTATTTCCATCTGAAAACTTTGGCTGATTTAATGCAACTGCTGGACTGATCGTCCCACCCAGAGCACAATCACCGTATGCCATTGTCAACATTTTAAATGTTTTCGAACAAATAATTCCATTTTTCACACAGCGATTAACGCATATTCTTTGATCTATTTTTTTCCATAGCTGAAAATCGCCAAACACGAAAAACACTTCTAACTTTAATTTTTTGAACAGCCCACGTATACTTACTTTGGATATTTCAGGAAATGCTGATCGCAAACCTTTCCCAGTAGTCTGATGTTATTTTGACCACCCACCCAGTACACATTATAGTTAAGTTTGTTTTTATTCTCATGCATTAGCTGAAGGCTACTCGTCAGCTGTGTTTACTCGAATCTTCTTATTGATGACATCCTTGAAAATATTATTTTTATCTTTGGATAATGTTTTCGTTCGCCTCTACAGGAATGATCTTTGGACTTTACATTTAAATGAAATTTGACGATTATATATTACGAAATACGTCTTTTGTTTCTCGATAAAAAAGTAACCAATGCCTTTCAAACGACGTATTTTTCTGCATCTTCATGATTAGTGATCTTTTGGGAAATGTGAGTGGTTGAAAGAAGATGAAAAAGTGAAATACCAGAGCCTTTCTTTCCAAAAAACTAATCACTTCCAAAAATATACACCTTTCAATTTAAACAAGATTCCTGTGGCTGGGATTGAATCAAATGAGCGAATGAACGTCATTACGTACTGTCATCTATCAAATGAGTAGATTCAACTCATTCATGAGTTGAGTAATTCTTACAGTGTTATTCCGATTTGGTGCTGAGAGGCGATACGGCACGTGTCTTATGCCGAAACATCGGCATAAGCCTGCGATGGAAATGATTCATGAATATTTTCCAAAATCGATCAGTGAGATACACTTGGCCAAGTTGAACTGAGAGCATTGGTCTATTTTTGGTCCATGATTCCTCAATTCAACAGCTGATCCTTGGTTCATTGCCATTCACCTCTAGTACCAAATTAACAAATTAGTTTAAATATTTTCAATTCCCAAACTTCCAAGTGCAGAATGCAGTTGATTCATAAAACGAGTTGAAAATGCAAGGTGAACAATTCTTCATAAATGTTGTGAAAACTATTTTCCGAGTTTTTTGGTCGTGGTGACTAAGCCCAACCAGCAAAATTGTTTTATAATTTCATGGTGCTGCAGCAGTTTTATTTTTTTGGTATTTTATAATCACTTCCGAAATGATAATTGATTATATTAGACGAGCCGTGAACAAATAAAAGTGTTTTATAAATTTTTCATAGAAACGTTAATAAAATAAAATTAATAAACATGGTTTGAAAAATACGCTTTTAAAGAACATCGAACTAAAAAGTTAAAAATATTTTTTTTTTAAAAANATATATCAATCTTTGAAGCACAAACAATATATTTAACAGTTTTTTAAGTACAAAAGTGGAATTATTTAAATGACCCTCACGTTTCTATTTGTTAGTTTTTAGTTGGTCCTAGTGTCCAATACAAAATTACTTCTTGCGCTTTTAAGAAAACATTTTGAACACTTTTGTATTCAATCGTTATCGTTTTAGACTGCATTATATTTCATTAACCTCACTCGGAATTAGTAAAAAACTGTTATAAAATTGTATTTCAATCATTTTATAAGATTCTTCACGAATAGTGTTGGAAAGTTTTTATAATAACTGCCGAAATGTTTATAAAACTGTTTTGTAGTGTTTGTGAAAGGCCTTACAAAATATTGGAAAAGAATATATTGACGATTTTCTATTTATAGCTGTTTTACAAACACATTGAAAATATTTCTGGGAGAAATACAGTTTTATAATTTGTTTCTCCGAAACATTTTCATAACCATTATAAAATATAAAATTGTTACTTGGGAGAACACCACTAGTACGTCGCCAAGGCCTAACTTCTCTTTGAACACAATAGAAATTGTCGGCTAGAATAAACCGACAAATCAGCATGCTCTCAACAAAGAATATCGTTCGAAGATACCGTAATATCTGATAAATTGCAATGAAATTACTACTCAAGAGTATTTAGAGACGCAATAGAAAGTCAAAAACAGAGAGATACTCTTACTAGGTAAGAAAAGGGTATAAACAACAATAAAATTTACCTGTTTTCAAAGATACAAAGTTACCTCATTGCCTTTGATAATGTCTACCGCAGTAGTAGACAAAACGTCTGACATAAATATATGCAGACTGCTGTGAGAAAAACCGGAATTCACACGGTTATCTCCGGTCGTGAAAGTTTACATTCTTTGATCTTTGATCAATTCTTGATTATTGTCTAAATGAAGTATAAAAAAGTCCTTACTTTGAATTCGAGAAATTTCTGACATGAACTGATTTGAATACGAATATTCAACGTGATTCATTCCTTCGTCGATCTATCAGAAAGTTGGGCATGAAATTAGTGAATGATACTTCATAATTAATCGTGACAGCGGGAACAGAACCAAACTACTTGGCAAGAGCTCTGTCGACATTCCAAAAAACAACACATGTTGAATGAAAAACGAACGTTATTCTCTGGACTTTGGAATCAGTTGTATTCCTGGATTAATTTTTCATATGTGCTAGCTATACCGAGTGTTTCAATTATGAGGGAACTGATTTTACCACTACGAGACACGTCTGTTATGCAGCAACATTTTTTGGGTTTCGACAACAATCTAGTATGAATATTATTGGAGTTTTATTCCAACACCAAACCGTTATTTCAACACCACAACACGTGTTTCGATCACCAGGTGATCATCTTCAAAAGGAAGATCAAACTAAATTTACGTGCAATGTTGTCGTTGTTTATACCTCTGCTGTTGTCCTCTGCTGAGTATCTGCGTTTTAATTGTAATAAAATCAATTTCACAATTTTGCCTTATATACTAATCATCTACGGTCTCATTGGCATCTGAATGCCTGTTTGTGTTAACTTGTCTAACTAATTTTAATGAACTAAAGTCTATAGAATTGTTTTGTTGCAAAATATAATGGGCGACTACTGATTTTTCTGGTCTTCTGGTGTGCTAAGTGTTCTTTACTTTTACCATTAATTTCGTAAATTCCAGACTTTTCCGAATTCTCGACTTTGCTCTTTGGATTTCCTAAAAGGCTCTGTGGTGTATGACTTGTAAATACCACCTTCATACATAGGAAGTTTTGTTTCTTTGTTTCATAACATATTTGTCGCTAGTCTTCTCAATATAAAGAACAGCTCATGTTATACAACAGTAACATGAGCTGTTCTTTAGTAGTTGTGCAAACGTACTGTTGTTTATCAAGTATTCAAACTTTACCAGTGTTCGTATATCCTATAGGTTTTATAGCTTATCAAGGAAAACATTATTTCTCGTACTGGCTTCTTATGTTTAACCCAACCTTCAGTTAGTACTTTTTCAGCTAGTTTAGCAATTTTTTACCGTCTCTTATTCTACTATAAAAGTCCTGAAGAATAGCCAATAAAGTCTTGCTTTTTAGTTTTTTAAACATACGCAGAACTTTATTAAAACAACGATAAAAATAAAATAAAACAACAATAAAAATTAATTGGCGCTCCGGGGCGACTTCATTGATTCCAGTGGGGCATTTGCTTTTTCAGCTGCAGGAAAACCCGGAAAAAACTGCAGCACCACATCATCTGAAGATCTTGATCTAACAATGTCCTCTCTCTTAAAACAATAAAACAAAATGTAGGGTGTCTCCAGAGGCTCCAATAAATTCAATGCATCGCCAGAACACTTCGTGACATGACTGTCGTCGAACTTAAACCAGTCCATTTCGTCTTTGAGCAAGGCGTAATAATGACCAAATTCAACGCCAGAACCACAGTGAACAATGACTGCATGAATATTATAATAGTGGTCTGCTAGGTTGAAGTGTTCATCTATTTCGAACCTTTCAAAGAGTTTCTTGCTTTCGTTAGAGGTTGAGTCTTGTTTGAATATCATCAGTGTTATTATTAGATTGACTGGTGCCTCAGCTATACTTGTTTCCTTATTTTTTTAGTTTCGTATGCTATAAAAGCGTGTTTTTTAGTCTTTCTGAACTGTATTTATTTTATCTAAATTTTGGGGTCAATCAGCCGTATATTGTTTAGAAAAATAATTATTGATATTTTCCGATTCCGGATAGAGAGCCTGAAAATCAGCTACCAAGCCCAAGGCAGCAGACGCGCAAAGGAGGGTTACAAATGAGGCAACAGGCGCGCGTGTTAATAAAAAAAAATCTTTTTTCAAATGAAGAAATACAAGTGAAGTGAGTTCGAATTATATCGAGTACAGCGCCATCTGTCCGCGAATAGATCAAGCAATAATGTTCATAATTCTGTCAAATACCGATCCCTAGCTTGAGAGTTACGAGCAAACAAACATACATACATACACAAACATACAGTTGAAGCTAATATAAAGCGTTTAAAAAAAGAGTTTTGATTTTTTTGTTTCCATCTGCATACCTGCTCCGATCGTATGCTGTTTGTTAACTTAGCTAGCCGTGCTGACCTCCACAATCAATGCATATTTATTTTGTTACAGGTAACCGATTTGTACAAACAGATGAAAGAACAAAACCACGCAGCCCCGACTAAATCAATTAGCAGTGCTGGTAATCTAACTTCTCTTTGCGTTGATATATCACCTAGTTCAAGTAATTTTTTTGAGGTATGTATTCAGTGTTATACATTTTGTTTAATTCATTTTCATTACATCAGTTAACTGAAAGACTAGTTTGAAAAAAGTATTGAGCTGTTGGGGTATGCAGCATGCAAAAGAACACTCTCATGACATTGATTACAATATTTCGACAAGTTTTACTGCCATCATCAGGGAAAAAGGTCCATGAAGTTGTATGCAAATGGTGGAAAGTTTATAACATACATGCACAAAAACATTCAGTACAGGTCACAAAAACTGTTTCAGACTTCATGGATTTTAAAAAGTTGATTAGGGTTATGCTGAAAAAATTTTGACGAATATTATTTTCAGGTTCTCTATATAGGTAAAATAAAAGTGTGGCAACGAAAAGTACCAGACAATTTCATAGATGAAGCTTTGGAAAAATTTCGAATACATGAACTTGAGAAACATGGATTTAGACAATTGGGAAACATTGGAAAATTGAAGAGTGAAAGTGAACTTTTTCGAAGAGGATCAGTGGTAAGAAAATCTGTTTTATGTTGCAACTACAAGTATACTTCTGAACTACAAAGCTTCTGCTGCTGATGAAATTGCAGCAGTTATTTTTTTTGTTGAACTTCTTCAATATATAAATGAACAATCCCTCAGAAGTCAGAGCGATTCTGTATCGAGCTTTTTTATTAATTTGACGTCAAAATTTAATATCACTGAAAAAATTGATACATGAAGAACTGTCCGTTTATTATACAATTCTCTATATAAATGATGTCACGTTTCATTTGTAGCAAGATACCACAATCACAGTTTCTCAAATACCTATTTGTCAATAATTATGTGATTTTGATGATGTATTAAAATTTTGAGATCCTGGAAATTATTATGGTTACTATAAAATGTGGCTGTAAATGTATGTCGGATATAATTCAATGTCCAACGTGGTATTAGCCAAGGAAGTAGTTGTTTTCTAGCAGGTATTTACCAGAATCTACGGTATAGATAGTTTAATATTACGAAAATCTCTATGGAAACGTTTTGGAGCTTTCTATCGTGAAACTCAAAATAATCAGAATTCAGTTTATAATATATTCGCAACAATTGAAATATTCTCAAAACTGTAAGATTAGGGGAAAT